AGACCCTAAACAGCGCCAGCTCGAAGCTTGTATTTTCACTGTACCTTCGTACCACCATGCAACTGAGACTAAGAAAGCATTTTCCAAAATTTTAATTTTAAAGTATCTTTTGAGATTTAATATGAAAAATGTTTAAGTTTTGAACACCATTACATTGAATATTCAATAACGAATTGAACTAAGTTTGAATCATAGAAACGGATATAACGGGTCAGCGAAGTGCAGTTGGTCAGCAATAGTATTGAATATTTTCGAAAAAATTGTGGAAAATAAAAATTAAAAGTCATTATTTATTTGACTGTGATTTGCAAAAGTTAAGTATGCACAGCTTTAATCGTACGATTACGTTTTTTAACGTAGACACAATGGTCAACATTATATGGATTTGATTTGAATGGAAAACGTGTTAAACATTAGGAATAATTAAATTATTATATTATTATATACTCTAATCGAAATTTGCAAATAGAATTATTTTACATCGATTATATAAAAACTCGACGATATTGGAAACTTGTACCCTAACTTCTACATCTATAATAATTCATTATTCGATGCTGAAACGGTGTCGCCGTCTAGCGAACAACTACTGCGATATACATTTTACGTTTCGCTATTTAGCCGTTTTCACAATCGCACTGGAACTGAACGGAATAAATGAGCAAAACTGACAAAGCTGGTATTGGGGATTTACCGTTTTTCCAGCAAGCCCTTGGGGATCTCAAGACCCTAACAAATGAAATAATCCTTTGTACAAGCTTTATTATATAGTATCCATCCGCAGTATATTACCCAACATAGATTACCGATATAACCTGAAATAGTAATTTAATTTCCGATTTCATACTTGGTGCCCCCGGAAACGATACAATTATGTTGTGGTTTTACAAATTTAAAACAGGTGTTTCAGAACCTCAACTATAATTTTCTTCAATTTTTCTTTCACTACCTTCTTTAGCTACATATGCATACTGTTTTAATTCTGTTCTTAATTTTCTGCACGGTGCTTATTTTTGATGAAATCATAGAATTTAATTTTACAGAAAACGTGTGGGTGTAAATGTGTAACAGTAATTAAAAAAAGGTTAGAAGTTATAAATACGAAATTGCGCCCATTCAACATTGTTATGATTGTTAGTGCTCAAATATTAATTAAGCGATAAATATTAATGTACATACTACACGGAACATTAGGTATAATATTAAGGCGAATTAACACTATAACAACAAGTCGATCGAGTTAGAAAATTTCAATTTAACGGTAACCGTAACACTGTTATGAGACCACAGTAGAAGTGGAATAGTGCTCTTATGCTCAGAGTCAAAAGACAGGCGTATACCGTGGCTTGGAAAAAGACCGAATAAAGCTTTCAAATGTGTTTTTCTATTTTACTTTTTAATTTTTATACAAAAGTATAAAAATTAATGTTATTTCGTTTTCAAACTTGGATACCTATAACGAAAATATAATAGTGATTTACTGGTCTAATTTAGTTCAATTCCAAGGTAAAAGTATTAAAATACAAAAATGTAGTGCAAATATTATGTCTCATCCCATATGGAGCCTTAAATAGTAATAGTTGAAAAAATTAAATTTTATTCATAAACAATGCAATTGTGTCGCAAAAGTGCAAAATTCAATTTAAACACATCCTTTAAGGGATTAACTTAATGTAATTTTTTCAGTTTTGAATATTTTCAACATTGGAGTTCATAGTTTCAGTCAGTACATAACACGATTATGACAATACCAGAAATAAATATTTTATATAAGCTCATACTATGAAAATTGAATACAAGTATAGTTTGTCTCTTACCTTAAAAACATATTGTGTTACCAAGTACTTTTTCTAAAAAACATCCTGAAAATTGAGCGTAACACATGCATTTGTGAGAAAATGTTAATTATCCATTGCTAATTTTAATAATTTGAAAGAAAAAAACAATAAATTGTGCATCGTAATTTTTAAGAAGCATATGCGATCAACATAATAATGGTTTATATATGCATTCAGTGAATAGGCTGGGAGTAAAATGAGGTTGAAGACCACTGCTGGTTCAGACCATATTATTTTATATAAATTATGTTATAAATGTTATAATCGTCTTTTATAATTTTATAATATTTTTTTTGAACTTAAACATTTTTTACAATTATTATTTTTAAATCTGAGTTAATATTATAATATAAATTATTTATTTACCTATCTCTGTATTGTATAAAAAAAGCTCTGTGCATTTTTTCTTCTACATAAAACAAATTCTAAAGCAATAAATAATTATTTTTATTAAATAATAATACATAGAACTCTCTATAAGCTAATTAAAAAATATATTTCTCATCAAAACGTTTTGTTCATTTTATCTTTTTATTAATCATTTTGTCTTCTAAATTTTCAATATTTTAAATTACAGAAATTTAATTTCAAAATTTAAAGTGGGTGCAGTTATCCTTGGGTCGAGGGGGCGGTCTTTCTTTGATAACAAGATATTAACAAATTCTGTAGAACTACGTTTATTGTATAGATAATGATAGATTGTAATTTGTAACAAACGATAGGTAATTGATAATGACTGTCAGGAATGAATTGGCAAAAAATTTAGAAAGTAAAAACTAATTTCAACCAAATTTATATATTTTTTTATATTGTTTTGAAACTAATTGTTCAAATCAAATTATTAAACATTTATAGATACCAAATAATGTGTTTGCGTTTGTGGGTTGTTAATAAAGTAAATAACTTTTGCGCTTGGTTATGGATGTTTTTTTTTTGTTATGCTTGGGTCATAGTTTGCGTTTTTTCGTGAGGGCGACAGCCCATAAATATGTTGTGCCAAAAGGATAAATAATTTGAATGGGACATTAACCATCGCATGATTAATGCGGACTTTGTCAAAAAACTTCAATCACTGAATTTGAATGTTGACATTTAGAAGACAAAGCAATCAATATTGTTTGTATAAAGTTTCTTACTAATAGTATAATTGTATATCACAGAGGCGAAATGATGGACAAATTATTAGACATATGACAAACATTAAAATAACAATAAAATCTCTTTTCTAGTAATTCTTTTAAACAATAAAAAAAAATATATTCGAAATGAAATTGTCAAGTTTAAAGTAGATTATGACGTAATTATATAAGTACCAGGATTTTAAATAATTTCCAAAAATATAAATAAATATTAAAATATAACCTAGCTAAGCGCTAAAAAATGTACTTCCGTAGCTTAAAATGTTTATACAATTGTATGTAGTTTTGAACTTTGTCGTATGTGTCATTAATATTGAAACTATCTTCATTGTATATACAAAGAGTGTAAAGTAAAAAACCCCAAGTTGAAAAAAATAATTGATGAACAATTATTAGTTGAAAAATATATACCTAACTGTATAACAATTTAGTATAGTAGGTAGTAGACAATTATTGTAAAAGCATTTTATATGGTATAATTTAATGTTATTTGTAACGATCTACTATTGTACTTTTGTGGAAGTCGTGTTTTTTAAAAAATAAATTTTACATTTTAGTGTGAGAAAGAATAACCTACCTAAAATATGAGAAATTAGAAAAAAAAAACTTAGATATTTAATTTAAAATGGTAAAAAGTAATGGAAACATTCATTTAAATATTATACAACTTGCTGTGTAAAATAATTAACCATCGATTTAAGTCGGCAATCTTGTGTGCTTTACTGCACAATAAATTTATATAATTCACTATCAGATAAATTACATTATAATAAATATTTCATGTACACGGTTTTACACAAGTTTTCTATTTATTGAAATACATAAATCTAAAGAAAAAAAAAACAACAACCTATGTATAATTATAATAATACAAAGCAAGGGCCACGTGAATGCCAATAAGAGTATTCTGTATATTTTCAGCGATACCTAATATTAATATCCGGCGAAGATGTGTTATTAAACAGTCATGCTTCAGTAACATAAACAACTGGACGGATACACTTAGACGGATGACAACAACGAGACTGAGATGAAATTTAATATAATCTTAAACACAGTTCAGAAAAAACAAATAATAGTAACAATAATAATAATAATACAAATTAATCGAAATTTTCATGCGACTCTTTGAGATCACACCATTTCGAGGTGGGATTCGAACAGTTCACATCGATACATTTCATTGACACATTGGTAAATAACAAACTTAACTAATATTGGACGGTAAAAATTATATAAACTCAAAATCAGGATATCACCGAACGGTCATTAATTACAAAATTAATTTCAGTAACGAAAATTATACAAAAAAAACTTGTAGAAATAGTCATTAGTATTACAACATTATCCTCAATTCACACTATGGTTTTACAAAATCAAAGAAAATTCAAATTTAAATTTTTGGAAGAGTAAAAAGTACAAAATAAATTTACAAAAACCATACAAATTGTATTTATCTAAATTATACACTTATACAGGTTTAGGATTTTGGAAGGCAAATATAAGGAACATCTACATACACTTTGTTGTATTAGGTATTCACGATTCAAGAATATCTGTTATAATATATATAGGTTGTAAAAATGTATTTCATTTATATTCGAATTATTCTAAAAAAATAATGTACATAAAAAATATCATGAAAAAAGTTCACAAATCGTAAGAACAAAATTAAATTTTATTACACGACGAGTTAGGTACTATTATAATATTCACATTGCATTATATAATGTATATTATAATAGAATATGCCACTTAGGTATATGCAATACTAATTTTTGCTACAAAATATATAAAAGTAATAATATTTCATTCGTAAAAATGTCATATACTCTAGTTTTGAATAATAAATTGAGTTCATGCAGCCAATATTATTGTTGAAAATTCCATCAAACGATGATGGAATTCATAATAATTGTTCATTATCGGGTATGTGGGCGGAGAGGTCTCAAAAACGATAGGTTGTGATATGCCAGTGTATTTTGTATAGGTAATCATGTTTTTTTTTAAAAGAAAATATAATATATATATATTATAAATGTTTTTACGTATTACATATGAATACGATCGGGCGCATATAAATATACACGCACGCGCTGTCACTATTTTCAAAATTCGATCGCTTGTGTTGAGTTGAAAAAAAAAGATGAAATTCGTATTAATTATATGATTTTGAGAAACCCGATCGATCGAAAACCCTTCAATCTGACGGGCGCACATTTATATAGTCGGATCGCGTGGCTACACGTCAGCTGACAGAGTTGCGCGATTGGCCAGGCCCCGTAAACGTTCTAATATTTACCCACATCTTTGAAAAAAATCCGCTGAAAGTCTTTTTTATACTTCGATTTTCGGCCAGTCGACGGATTCCCGAAATACGTATTAAAATAAAAAACGTCGGGTCATGCGAAAAAAAAAACGTTTGCTATTATACGTCCTACATATTATTATACATTTATACAGGAATTGTATCGATCGGTGTCGTAGGTTCCATGGTAGTGTAGACGACGATACGAGAATTACGTTCAAGTATTGTATCTTAAAAAACGGAGTCCCGTCAAGTGTGTACGATAGGACTCGTAGGGTCACTATCGCGACGCTCCTAGTCCGACGTGGAGTTGCTGGTGGATTGATGTGGGTATAAAAAAAAAACACGGAGAGTGATCGAGAAGTGTTGGGTCAGCGGTGTCGGTTATGGGTCGGGGGTGGGAAAAAGGCGACACACATGCCGATCGAGATAATAATATACACACATGGTTTTATTTCAAAGCAGTTCGCGTGGAGTAGACGCACCCTGTGCAAGACGTACCACATCTATACCTATCATTTAATACGTTACGGACAAACTAGGAAATAGACAAATAATAATAAACAAAACCCTAACGTTTTTGCTAATATTCCCTTTATTATATGACATTGTTTCCTAGAGTAAGTTATAGCGTCGAATACAGTGATAGGCCAACATAATGATTTGGAGGAAAATCAGTTGATCGATGATGTGCATTATACCGTTCAACTATTTTATATACGAAATTAGTCGTATATACAGTGTTGAGAATATATTACAAAAATGGCATCTAGATGAGATACCAATAATAACTATTGTACGTTAGATTCACATTTGTCTATACATACAAATAAATGTATGTACATAGATTTTAATTTTATCTAGATAATATAAAAATGATCTAACTTTTATCAAGATAATTTGGTAGATCGATTAATTTTTTTATTAGATTTAAATATTATACTTCAGTAAGTGATGAAAATAAATATAAAATTTGGGCGACCACTTGACCAACGATTGAATTGTATTCCAATAGAAGAATTTTTTAATAAAATTCATGTTTTATCGAGTGTGATTTAAATTGAGTTTATCTAGATGAAGAAATGTGTAATCTAATATAACCATTAGATAACTGGCACAATAGTCATTATTTCCTAGATAAGTTTGAACATTGGTCTTACAAGAGTACCTATATACCATAACAACATGTCTTGGGTATAAGACGACAAACAAAGCGATAATAAATTCTATACCTTTGGTCATTGACATTTGAGGACATACATCACTGAACGATATTCTGTACTTAATATCTTAACAATGCACACATTTATCTACTTTTACCATTTCAATTAAGTCCAAGGGAACCCGTTCACTGTGTACAACGTCCGATTTCATATATTGTCCGTAACGTATCGTAGTTTTGTTAAAATTATTTCTTATGATGTCCTATTATCATAATGTATTGGTATGTACTTTGACCGGAGTCGATTTCATCGATGTCACCGTTTTTTAAATTCAGTTGTCTCCTTTTGAAACATATCTTTAATCACAATACTCAAAAGTTCGATAGGTACGCGCATATCTGGCAAAGTGCTAATATATATATATATATTATATAGATACAATCAGTATAGTATAATCAATAAATAAACGACCACCAGACTAACCTATTGAGGCGTAAAATCAAATGTAGATTGAAATCGTCTTCATATTATTTATATTACGTTATATAGGAACTAGAACTCTCGACATAGACATTTATATATTATTTTATAATTATTTTACATAATATAATACAACCGACTAAATTAAGTTTTAAGATAAATATCAAATATTATATTATACGAATGAGTATTTGGACGTATTTAGATTTATTTACACAAGTTAGGTACACGTACTCGAAGGTACCGATTTGTAATCCACCAAGAACAACCCTTGACAAATTTCACGATTAACATATTATGTATTTATGTACTTCTGTCTTAAATTGCTTTCACGGATCGCAGGTACGTCACAAAAGTAAAACGACGGAAACTATAAAATAATAATAATAAAAAAAGCGTCAGAAATAAATAATCAAAAGGGAGTAAGTTTACTACCTACATTTTCGTCGATACGGTGTGTTCTACATCTAAAACAAACGCTACAAATTTATGACGTTTGTTTTTCGATAAATAAACGTTTTGATTTGGATAAAAGACTTTCTAGCTAATATTTTCCTCAGAACGGTTCGCCTTACTAACACCAGACGGTCTGTTACTATTTTCCTATGCGTGTTTGACATATTATTTCAATATCAAACAATAGTCAGTATTATATCCTGATATCGCTGTAATATCAAAATGTTCAACTACCCATAACTATCGCAGTTTTCGATTTTAGAATTACGTCGCAATATATTATGTATTATGAATGAATATATTAAACCGTGAAATTGATTATGCGAAGCACAACATTTCCATATTATGAAATTCGTATTGATTTTTGTGTATTTTCCGTTACCGAAATAACCGACTGATAAACTTCAGAACTTTCGGGATACTGGTTCATATTAATATTATAATTTCAGAAATAACTAAGCTTCGACGTCGGGAAATCGCGATAATAATTTTTACCTAACCGTTAAATATTTATTTTGCTGATAAACGTGTGTGATACACACCACACACACACACACACACACACACACACATACACATACGAGTATATGATATATATATGTTATAATCGATTTGGATAGGGTAGGTTCCTACACTTTGGCGAAATATATTGACAATAATACATACACATAATAACCAATTTAATACACTAGCATATTATTTGGCTCAGTCGATTAACTTAGAATGTATTTATTATGTTCACATAGTTCATGAAATTAATAATGGGCTGATTATTATTGTTGTTGAATAGCGCAAACAACGTTTTTCGCCCGGCACAGTGTTTAGGTGTTTATATTACATACGATGATAATGTTATTATATATTTATGTCGATAGGTTTTTTAGTATTTATAATATATATTATTGAGTGCAGCCCATCGTAAACCAATTTTCCGTTTATTTATTTGTATTATTTTACGGCGTCAATTTTGTTTTCACTACAAATCGGTTAGGGTTTTAAAATAATTGCACGGGGAAAGAATAATAATAATAATACAAATGTATGATCTCATATTATATTGACGGGGATGGCTTGAACATATAATACGCAATGCACCTCCTCCCAGTACACGTCCATAATATTATTATCTCTCTGGTTCTGCTCGTTGTTGAGAGCGAAATGACAGCTTCCAGATAACGGTTAATACTAAACATTTCAGAATTTCTCGGATCCAGTTTCCAATGTGAATATTGGTGCTCGTCAAAAATCATTATGTCTTGCACTCAGCAGTGTCAACCCGGCCAACGCGTAAAATGTCGAAAAAATTATATCATGGTCCGTGACGGGTAAAAGGCTGACCAACAGTGTTGAGATCGACCACTGCAGGTTTTGGTAAATGTCAATATTATTACATCGTCAGATTCCCAGTAGTCTCGAGTTAATGGTTTAAAAAAAAGGTCAACTGAACAAGGTGTCAGCTGATCAAAAATAACATTGGCAGAATTCATGTTTTGTTCAACATTTACCGACTTATAATTAAACATAATAGGTACTCTATCGGTTGGTTTGGATGAGAGAACAAAATGCAATCCGTTCTGCTTTGTATGGAGAAGAATACAAATACGTCATTATCGTTATCGTTCGAATATTTAGATACTGGCAATATTTCAGTCGATTTTTTTCGTTTGACTTTGCTCAAGTGATCTATCTATATTGCGTTCTATTTCAGGTCACGTTTATCGTTCCAAAAAATCGTAAGAAAACAGCCTTATACTACTCGGGTTGACAGTAGTAAAAAATAAAATATTGTACTCAAACGTAAATCTAAAGTTACACACACACACACACACACACACACACACACACACACAATCATATACACACTAACGCGAGCACACACAAGCGCACTATGATAAGTGGCGTTGCGGTTACTGGGAGACAGTGGCAGTGGCGGCGGTTGGCGCCAAGCCGCAATCGTCCGGTGAGCAATTATCGGCATTCGGCGGTGGCAATTCGGGCGAGTTACCGTTACCGGTGCAGCCAACGCCACCGCCGCCGCCGCCGTCCGCACCGTTTCCTAACAACCGCTGTTCGACCAGGTACTCGTCGTCGTTGTTGTTGTTGACGGTGACGGCGGTCGCCGAGGACGCCACAGCCGCCGACTTGACGACGGCGAACGCCTTGCCGCAGTGTTTGCTCGGGACGTCCTCGGCCGTGTACTCGGACTGGTTGCCGTAAGCGTACGCCATCTCGGCCACGCGCGAGTCGACCGACGACGAGCCGCCGCTCGAGTGGTCGGCGGCCGCGGGCTGCAGTTGGTGCGGCGGCGGTTGCGCGGCCGCCGACGCGGTCGGCCGCCGGTCCACAGTCAAGTCCACTTGCGTCTGGCTGCTGGGTTCGAGCACGGCCGCATTGACGGTGGCCGGACCGCACTCCGAGCCGCCGTCGCCGTTGGCCAACAGGGACGCCTCTCGGAATTCGCGACGCAACATTTCGGCTTCCATGTCGAACTCGTCGTCGTCGTACTCGTAGTCCATCGATTTGGCGGCAGCGTCGGCGGCAGCAGCGGCTGCTGTCGCCGCCGCAACTTCGCTCGCCGATGCCATGCAAACGCCCTGCAACAAACGTCGATAATTGCACATATTTCATAATATTAAACACTATATCAATCGTTGTTCTATCATTTTGTATTGCTCTCATTATCATTGGCACTGTTATAATAATTATGACATCACCACCGACAGTTGTAGATTATTGCATTATGAAGTGTTGACAGTTTTTTTTTCAGATTTTAGTTCGGTGTGTAGACAACTATGGCCCTCTGGTCGTACACTACCCCGCCTCGAGACATGCAGTGATCATATCATATTATCTCCTCGAAACAACGTAATTCCATTTCACTGTCAAATGTACAACTATTTGGGTAGATATTTTATATGATTTATTTTAAGTATTTTTCAACACTGATGTTGGTAAACATAATATAAGAAACGAAATCGTAACCACAGTTGACAGTCACAGCCTATAAATAGAATATTAAACGTGAAAATCGAATAGATTGTAATTTCTAAACGCTTTGACTCTAGGTGTTAAAACCCTATTTACAGCATTATGCGCTTATATCATAAAATATAATATGGCCTATGAGGCTGTCGTCTAATGTGTTAGGTACAAGTGTAATTTACAAGTACAAGTTGAGCGAATATTTGAAATCATACGAGCATGTGAAACGTTTAAAATTTGAGTACTGAATAAAATACTAGACTGGCCACTTATTAGTTAAGTTAATGTTCGAAAAAAGTAGTTTCTGATTCAAGTATATTACCTACTTCCACGTGTATTATGCCTAAAAATTTTTTGACAACTTAGTAAGTGTTGAATATAAGCGTGGTTCATTACTCCGGCGCGCGGCGGTGGTGTTAATTTATATAATTAGATAGCTTAGGCATTTTAACATTTTAAGTTCGATCATTTTACCTTGTCGTTTTAAAATGTTTAAATCGTGTTAACATATTTTTTAAGCAATAAAATCCATTCAAAATATTCAATATAAAAATAAACACAACTATATTTTTCGCAATAATGAAAAATAAAAATTGTATTACCTCGAACATGATATTTGACTGTAAGTGTTGAAAAATATAGTATGTATTATGTAGAGTGTAGACATCTGAACTAAAAGACCAAGACGAGTAGGTAGTATAGGTAATGGTATGTAGATTTCGTATTCTTTATTTCCGTGCAAACTAAAAAGCGAGGGTTCTATAGGGTTTACAATAGTATCTCTTTATTCGTACGTCCATTAACATTTTTGTGCATAAAAAGAGTGTTGCAAGAGTTTCATAAGTTTTTCTATAAAGTGGAAATTTCACATTTGACGTATTGAAACAGTGAAACAGTACCGAGAAAACAGAAAAAAGCGTAGAGGAATAATGAATAAGAGTTCAATATTATGAGCTAGTGCCTAGTACCAGATTTTTTTTTAAATCCATTGACTGACTAATGGTAGTTGTTTTTACTGCCAAATTGTAAATCTCCCTCCTTAGTGACCCACTCAAATCCTGTATCAAACCCGAGTAAACTAAATATAATACTTATTAAATCTTATATGTGGGTCTTGATTGTACCTAAATAATTTATGACTGCAAATACACCACCTACATAATAAAATACAGTATCTACCTATACATTAAACTAGGTAATATATGTATAGCATAATTAATGATACTATTAATAAATCAATTTTTTTTATCATTGATTAACTAGAGTAACATTTGCATAATGCAGTTGTACATGTATTAAGCTAACGATGATATTATTATAATGGGTTTATATTAAAATGTATTTTTATGCTGTTATTTGATTAAGTATATTATAATGTAATATAAACGAGAAATATTTGTTCAGTAAATCTCGTTGTAAATGCGAATGAAATTATTTTCAACTTTTTCTTTTATCCTAATGTAAATACATAAAATATGCATTATGTACCTATGTGGTGATTACTATTTTTCTTTGGTTCAGATTATTACTATTATTTCAAAAACTTTAAAAGTTTTCATAAATCATAATAATAATATTTTATGAAAAGAGTTATTATTTGTGTCCGAGACTCTATTCGGCAATATTTCTGTGAAACCTTAAGTGTTAAGCATGGATACATTTTAATAGAAAAAATAGGTAGCAATAAATAAGTAAGCACATACTATAATTGCTTTTTACTTTCACTAGTAGCCCATTATGGACATAGTATGGATATACGAATTAAATTAAATTATTATTATGAAAAAGAAATGGACGGTAATTAGACATCCCACGCTTAATTTTAAACGCTTCTAAACGTGACTTGGATGGGGATTAAATGGCTATGTACACTTGCAAAATGTATTAAAGTGAAAAAAAAATAACACTTTATGGCATAATACGTTATATCAACATCGTTATATGATGGGTATTAATGAACGCTTGTTCTACTTCTCCCGAATGGTCGCAAAAACTGAAGAAACGTCTGAATTTTGATTGAACGGCTTAAAACTAATTTTCCAGTGCAAAAACAATAGTTACACCTATTTGATGGTTAATTTTTTTTTATTTACTACTAAATGTTGGTACTTTGTAGTTATTTCAGTGTGTAAAGCAGATTAGAGCTAAACAGTGTACACTCGGAAATTTAATTCTTGGTTGACGTCCAAGTATTGTAATAATTTATTATTCAAATCTAAAAATGTTGTGATTTAAGAATCAAACGAAGAAAAAAAACTCAATTTTATTATGAATTCAAATGAGGGGAATTTTTTATCCATCTAAAAGTGTAATAATTTCAAAAAAGTGCATTTGATAAGTAAAACATTTCATCGCCATGTAGAGGAATGAGGTTTTTATTGATCGCCATGTATGGGACAGCTAACACTAATGCATAACTGGAAAACTCATCATTGCGATCTGATTAACACGACGTAACGGGTTTAAATAAATGAGTTAATGGCCGTAAGAGATTAAAAAGAAGTTAATGATCGCTGTATTACGTTTAATTTAATTGAATCAACGAGTATTTAGTTACTTTGTGTGTTCAAAGAAACAACGATGTATTTAAAAAACTAATATCTGTAACGCTAGTATTATAATACTAATAAGGTTTGGATTTCAATTTTCAACGCATTTTCACTTTATTTGGATTGCCTCACACGAATACGCAAGTTGCAATTAACAGGTTTCAAGTACAAACTTATTCTACCTACGATTTTTTTTACCTACTGTTGGTCACGAAGTGGGATATTTTGTTACAACGGTAGTTTTTTGGTTACTCACGACCCTTGTCTATTATATCGGATAACTGTCTAAGGTAGCATTTATAATCAGTACACAATATCAATATAATTTAAAAATAGTTGTACATAGACGGGAATTTTAATAAACTGGTTTTCTATTACCAGTATTCGTCTAACATGATCCGCGTACTCACATACAGAGAGACATTTTTTATACGCAACAATAATAATAATAATATTAATGAACCATATTTTAATTTGTATTGTGTTATATTATACTTATTCGTGTATGTTGAAAACAATTTTGAAATTATTTAAAAAAAAAAAAATTGTCATAATTATTGAGGAAATTTCTCACTACTCTCGAAAAATGAAGTTTTTATATAAAAAACATGACACTCACATAAAGTTGTTGGGGCATATTTGTCCTAATATTAATATGAATAAAAAATACCTTAAATGTAGTATACAAATATGTATTTTTTAATTTTGATTTTTTAACATCTCGTTATTGATCATGTTGGTGGTTTTAAAATATCATGAGTTTCGGATTTATATTAGCGACCAGGCACGGTAACACGTATACTACCGGTCGATTACATACATAATATTAAATACATTATATCAATTCAACGAGGTTCAGTGCAATTGTATTTATAAAATAATTATCAACTATTGATTCTCATAAACTATTAAGGATTAATAATCAGCAATTCTTACTATATTATCAAACATTTAAATCATGTGAATAATGTCAAGGGGAAGTAAAATAAAAATAAGACGTAAGTTGACACGATTTTCTTTCTCCATAAGTCGGTCACGTGAAAACATTAGAGATATTATTATTTAACAGTGCTTGTAGGTGTATATAGTATAGAGTGCACATAAAAGATAGAGTGTCGCGACAACAAAACGCTAATCTCTTCAGTCTTCACTTTTAAAGTTGAAAGTACATAGTCGTTCTAGACCGGTAAAAAGTCGTATCGGATAGATAACGAAAAAAAAATGAATACGCCTAAAGCATCATATAACTTTCGTCTTGTTCACTACTGAAGCCGAAAACTGGCAAGTCTTAACTGATTTACTTTCGCCGTGTACATAATAAATTATACTAGAACGGCGGACAGTGAGCGCTTTTTTTCGTCCCCACTGACCTTTGCCGTTACGCGTCTTAGAGCACGGTCCGACGCAAAAGCATATACTCATACCTATACATCTGTATTAACTGATCTAACCTATACTTAGCTACCTAAATACTAGGTAAAGGCACGCACGTCGACAAAATACCAAGGATACCACTTGTAACCGCCGGGACATCAAAATCTTGAACAACGTTTGAGTCGTCAGTCGGTGTACGTATATCCCATGTGTAATTGTAGGTAAATACAAAGACGCTAGTGTGATGCCCACCTCGGATATAATAATAAATTCCGAAACAAATATTGACCACGGCTACCACTTCATATTATATATTAAAAGTATTAATAACTCGAATACAACTCGTATCTTGTATACTTCGGCTAATAAGAACAAACTAATATACCGAAATACCGAATATAAGTACTAAACAATATGAGTGCCAGACTAGCAACTGACGCTTTTCAAACTAGGTGTATAGAAAGAATTATCAACAAAAGAGGAAACATGCTACTCAGTATAAAACGCAATGAATTAGCCATGTATCTAGCAGCGAACTCAACAGAAATAATATGTTGCACCGAATAGTTTTTTCGGGTATAATTTATAAATTATTCAACCAATAATTTTAAGATGACAAAATTATTGACTTGCACAACATAATCTCTTTACAGAATACGTAGATTGCAAATACACCTCCACGGCGTTCCAAAATAAATATCAACCTAGGTCTGGTTAAACTTTCCAATAATTATATGTTCTCTCTAACTCACATATAACAGTTTTGAGAAATACTATCCCTTTATAGTTTATACCCACTGCGTCAAAATATACTCAGAACACGAAGCTATTCCATAAAGGATGAAAAACCATAATTTTGCGATGAAGAAACCGTAACATTTAGAATCACTTCACAATGTTCCATATTCTCAGTTGAAGCATTTAATAAATAAACAAAGCACTAGAAATTGTTTACGATAAAGTTTACAGGAACTTCCCTATTCTAAATTTCCAAGTGACTCCTTATGCATATTACTTACCTTACAGTATAGGCACGTATATAAATTTAGATTCAGCTAAACTCAAACAAAAACATATTGCTCTACATTACAAGGGTGACTTGGTTAGATTTATGTGGATCCCTAGATATTTTTTGAAATGAAAATGCCGACTATCACGCCAAGCAAGCTTCCTCATTTCTTTTCTTGAAACTTAACCCACACATAACTTTCCAAGATTTCAAAAAACAAACCATACAGCACTAATCTTCTCACGTGGCAAATAGACTGGTGTAAATAAAACAACACAAAACATCAAGCAGAATTCTAGGTACCTACTACCTACAATACAAGAATCGATGGCACAAGAATAAACGATAGTATTATGCCATAACTGGCTGCAGAATGAATCCATTTGGAAGCCAGAGCCATCTAAAAAATTTCTCTGAGTCTTCCAGAATCACTTGAACCGAACCCCACATTCACCGAAAACCGCTAGACTTCCTCAACCAAACACATATTTAAAATCAAATCCAAACAAACTTCGTAATATTATAGTATAAATCAATATCAGCCTAACATAGGAATATGTATTTAACCTGTTATAACTCATTTTAAGACTTGAAATAAAAAGTAATAGCCAACCGCCATGATGCAGTGATTTTTTTCTTACTTTAATACTTTGATATACTTTTAATGATAAAGAACAGATTATTATAGTAGATTAGATTTGGTCTCTATATTACCACTCTATAAATTGTAATTAATCGTGTTTTCATAAAAATGCATTTTTTTTATTAAATTACGGAAATATTTTTTAGCAGAACCCTTCCTGTTGAACCCTCGTCCAGTATTACAGACTTTTGAACTACATCGAGCGAGGACGGTTTTCTGAAATAATTATTAATTAAATAGTAATATTCAAGTAAAACTACTTGAACCAACACCAAAATATTTGTTTCGTTATTTTTGTAGATAAGGATAAACATTAAAATTAAAAAAAGAAAATTAAACGAAAGAACCAGAGGAAAATTTTAACCAATTGGTGTTCCGTGCGAAATTGATTTAGATTGCGGGCCAGAAAGGAAATCATACATATTATATAGCTAGAGCTGGTAAATTAAACGTTAAAATAGCCAGAAATCTGCAACGAGAAAAGTACAATATAGGCTTGTAAAACCTTTTCGTAATCGTTCGGGACGTTTGTATCGCTGGTAATTTTTATTTTTTGGACTGTGAATAGGACACCAGTCAGTAGTCATCACACACTCAGCTATAACGTTGGTCACACACAACAACGACATGTTAATAATACACCCGTATTCGGATTATAACGACACAGTAATGTTGTTATTAAAATGCACGCACCTATATTATACAGTTTACTTGGTATTACTGTAACAATAAAATATAATAATAATATAAATTGTTGTACTGCATAATAATTAATTACCGGCACTCTTTCCTCGGTCTCCACGATCAGATGGTTGTTTTTCATCGTCAGCGTGATAATGCTCCCGTTCAGGTTCGTTTTGTTCGTGTCTCCAAAACGATTGTTTGGCGGACTATTGTACAACAGCGGTGGCAGCGGCGTAGAAGAACCGTTCGCCGCAGCGTAGCAACACACAGCCGCTGACGCCGCATCGTCAGGCATCAGAACGGAATATTGCGATTCGCTGGTCTTCAGCTGGGTCCAAAACACAAAACACGATAATATAACATCACGGAATTACTATTATTATTATCATATCATTATTGTCAACGTGTGACACAGGACCAGAATGACACACGTTTCGTCATTTCGAGCATTCGTTTGATCTCTATGCTCGTATACGATGAACACAATACTGTTTATACTATATTAATATATAATACATTTGGAAATCTAACCTAATATATTTTAGGAACAATTATAAACTGTAAATTGGTCTTTGATTGATGTCCGGGAAAAAAAAATAATTTGCATCAAGGATACCTATAATAGTTGAAATTAATTAAAAATAAACTCATTAGGTACTAAGGGGAATTCTGAACCTAAGCAAAAATTAATTATTCAAATTAACCACCTAGTTATAATATTTCCTTTAGGAATATTGTAGGTACATTTCTCAAAAAATAGTGCAATATTTAAATGTATGAATCATTTTTTAGTTTCGATAATAAAGTAATTATATTTTATTATTAATATGAACATACAGAATAATAAAAAAAAAAACAATTCATATTATACTAAACGTTTTTGTTGCTGGAAAGGATTAGAGGCATGAATTTAAATAATTTTTGTGATAGTAAACTAAATGTTTGACTCTTATTAGTCTTATTATTATTAACCTAACATTATGATATGATATTACTCAATATAAGTGGGTTAACCAAGACCTTTCCTAATACCTATATTTGATTTTTGACTTCATCGTATGGCTTTTAAATCATCAAAATAGATAAAAACGTTTTTACAAATGTTGGACCATGTCGTGTCTCATCAAGTGTAATATAAAAACCTCACTTATTCAAACTGATATCAATTAAATTTTGTGAGTCAGTACAAATTATTATTTTTTTTTTAAATGAAATTAATTTATAAGTCGGAGTTGTATTTTGTATTCTCCATAAAATAACTTATTTTTATATTTCTGATCTCGATACTAAACCTGATTATCATCCATTGATAACAATAATTCCATCTCTACCAATTAATAGATAATAGTTAATAAGATATTATTATAAAATGTTTTATTAGCATATATTGATACATAAGTATAAAATACGAAACGTAGGTAAAGTTGGTAAAGGAAAAACACTTACAAAAATAAAATATAACTGTAATAATACGACAAAAAAATACCAAAAAAAAATATTCATACCGACATATGGTATCAGTAAAAAAAAAATAATTTCGTTTATAACGGGATAAAGAAAAAAAGGTACAACGATAAAGTAAGCATGGTTGGGAAAACCCGGGGGAAATTGTGACTGGTAGATATAGTGCCCGGCGGCGGCATGTAATGTTCTAACATTTCGGCTGAAATAAAAAAAAGTATGATTGTCGTCGTTGTCCGTTTACTATTTTTCCCACACTCATTAAGGTTTTATTACATACGATTAAAATATCTTTCAATCGTGTTCTAATTTATTTGTAAGGAATAGGGTTTTCATCCTTTTAAGTCAAGAATCATTTGTATCCTAGCTTTTTCAACATTTAGGAGGTTCCTATCGTCTATCAGCGAGCTTTGAATCAAGTCATCAAGTTGATAATTGATGTCATCTACTGATTTATAAGAAAAAGTCTTCGACACGTCTAGCAAAACATGATTTTTTAGTTAATAAATTAGAGCTTTCATGTATTGGCAATGATTTGTAACTATTTCTGAAGTTTTTGGAGTGATAATAGATCATTGATTGCGCGTTTAGATAGGCATTTTAGTTTTTTTCTTACTTTTTTTTTTTTTAATTTTCTTTTCACAAACTTGATCTCCAAATGGTTTAAAAGAGTACAATTTCTGTTATTTTCCTATAGTATAAAGATCTTTCTCAGATTTAAACACCATCTTGTTCCACTATACTCTAGAAGTCTAGAATAATTCAAATATCTTTAATGGTGGAATTTTACACTTGTGCACTTTCCTAGTCACATATGATGCCTACTCTTGAATCCTGTGTTATATCTTTCTGTAGATCACTCACTCCCATCATACATTTCAACTTTTTCAAAGGTATCTCCAATCATACGTATTGTTAGTGTAAAATGTATTAGTTTAAGCACACATCTTTTATGAATTAATTCATGTCTCCGCTCTTTATATTAATCCCTTGTTCTAGCTTTGATTGATTTATTGAGTGATATAGTCCTGTGGCCAACATACACAATTTAAGATAGTTTACTCTTTGAACATGCCAACACATTTTTTAAAAATTATTTTGCTTTTGCCCTAAATATTCAACATACTTTTCCTTTTTTTACTGGATATAACTTATAAATAACCCAAAATTAGCTGTTCACCACAAAATAGCAGATGTTAATTTTATCTTCTTAATTTTAAATGGCTCATTCTATGGCCAGGGCCTCTTAGCAGATATTCACTTTGCAATTTCATCTCAATTATCTTTTATTCAGTCTTGATTTCAAGTAGGTACAACAAACACATACGGCATGTTATAGGCACATTCATATTATGCCATATTTTATATGTACTTACACCACATGTTTTTGACTTGATTTAAGTGTATAAAACCTTGAGTTTTTTAGGAGACTGTATTATTTGAGAAAATAGAGAACATTTTTTTTTTTTTTGGTTAGAATTAAGTTTTCTACTACTAAGGTCATTAAACTGATACTGTGTGGAGGGAGAACAGTAATAGTTAGTTAGAACACGTATGTATATGTGGCTAGGATTTTTGTTGCTGAAAATCCCGGATGGATGACCATCCGGGAGCTAGCAACGCAGGTCGATACGTACGCTCACAGCGTTTCCGCAGATTGAACGTGCAACCGTGATACGAGTACATCAAGTCAACAGAGAAGTTTAAACGACACTAATCAACACATTATATCGCCTAGACAGTATATAGGGATCGTACGATCAGTATTCAGTGGATAAACCTTTTTCCGATAGCAATAAATTAGATTGTTTTTATTGTTAGAATATATTGACAGAAATCGTTAATGGAGTCAGCGAGCTGCCACCGATGACAAAGGTAGTGCAACGTTAATACGATTTTATCTGTAAATTGAATTGGTCATTTAAATCTTTATTGTATGTATATGCCGGTGGTGTATATTGCAGGTTATGCATTAATAAATTATAAAAATAATTTGTCAAACATATTAATTTTTAGATGCTGATTGATGTATTTTGCTTTTACAAAAGTTCGGTAGTTCGCATGTTCCGATTATTTTGCAATTTATGAAATTATTTTTATATAATACTGCTAAGTGTGTAGGTCCGCTATTTTAAAAAAAAGACAATAATTCGATTCAATTCACGCTATTCATTGGATTCTGGATAGAGTTGAATATTTCAGGATATTGTAGAAAATTTTACTATACATACATCATTTTCACATTGTGAAAATGACGCCCGTAACATAATATTATATTATCCTGATATATTGTATAATTACTTATAATTAAAGTATAAAAAATATCTCTCATAATCTTCAGCATTATTTTATTTATTGGTATATAATATATTCAACTTAATAATTCTGGGGGTGAGAGGATGAGTCGTGATTTTTAAGACTTATGAGAATATAATTATTCATAATTTATGAATAATGCAATTTATATAATTATAATAATAAAGTAATTAATAAAAAAAATGGAACAAAAAACAAAAAGAGTATTACTAGTGTTCATATTACTGAATACTTTTAAAAAAATAAATCTACAATATCCTAGACATATTTTAACAACAATATTAATTATAAATGAGTTATTTCTATTAAAATGTATTAAAATAATTTTAAAGAAAAAAACAAACAATCGTAATAGGTTAGATGATGATAAACAATTTGAAATTTAAAAAAATATAAGTTAATGACCAATATCGAGAACCGAGTTAATATTGTGAAATAATACCTATATAAAAAGGTATTTTAATATTTTAAACTCATTTTCATTTTTTTGTTTTAATAATATGTTCATTGAGTGTAAGATGAATCGTTGAAATTAAATACTTTAGAATGTTAAATCCAGTGCCATAACCAGTAGGTAGGCTAGGTAAGCCATGCCTGCTTTTCTTCAAAAATATATGTTTATAACATACGAGTATTGAATGTGTTGACTAAATGTCTATAATTATGTGTTCATATTTATTAAAAACAATATAATTAAATTATTGTAAACACAATTTAAATTATTTGATTCCTGGTAGTTTTTAATGTGTTCATAAAGCCTATTATTTACTTTGACTGTTTAGGTTCAAAGCAAACACCGATCGGTTCCTGATAATGCACCCAACGAAATGCATAGTTTGATTCGAGCCAGTATAGTATAATAATAATATTATACTCCGTATATTTTCGACTCAACTCCACTTGATACCAACTTATCACAAGACTTCAGACAAATGTGAGTTATTTCAAGTTACTACTATAATACTATCCATTTGATTAAAATCGATTTTCAAAAATAACGAGACATTTATAATAAGTTGTATCACACACTAGGCCATTTATAAGCAATGTTCCATTGCAAAAACATATTTTAAAACAAATTCATAGATAATAAATCTGCTGTAATTAACGAGTGTGTATCAATGAAAAAAATAAATCGTTAGAACTAAATAGATAATTTTCATTTTAAAAACATTTTATTTGGTAATCAGGTAGGTAATTCGATCTTAAGCAATATTATTTTATATTATTATCTTAGCTTTAGAAGTTAAGTTTTTTTATTTTATGTTTGATTTCTTTTGAATAAATAATGTTCTGTATAATTTAAAATACATGTGTGTTTAATATAAAGCATTTTGTTTTAATTAATAAAAATGTTCATTGGTAATACTTCTATCAAAATATTAAGCCTAGTCAGAAAAAAGTTTTAGGTACACCACTGCAGGTTAAAACAACACAATTTAAGAGGGAAATAAAAAAATTCACTCTTAAAACATCCATCGGCAATATTGACGTATTATTGTAAAGACGCAGCCAGTAGGTAAGGTTTATTTTAATCAGTAAGTTAACAGTTTCATGATAAATATAAATTTAAAAGCTTGTTCAAAAATAGTTTCGTAGTAAACGTTGTTAACGTGATAATAATAACTATTGTTGTTATAAAATTAATGCTAAAACTCCTAAGTCTTTAAGCGACTAACATTGTGTCTATCAAAAAGTCAAATAATATGTATTCTTTATTATTTAACATAGTAATTAATAATTGTAAAATATTTTAAAACTTTATAATAATTTCTTTTATTGAGTCACATCTTAAATTTACTGGACCTAAATATTATAATGTAATAAAAATAATTATAAAAATATTATATATAAGTCTGTTTAAAGAAATTAACTGTTACGTGGCGTACTTTACAAAAGGTTAATAGATAAGCTTAATACTTACACAATTTATTTTTAAAAATTGTTGACGATGCAAAACTTTTTTTATCCTCATACTTTTATAGTTTTTACAAACTGAAGCACTATAATTATGCTGCATTTTGTTTTTAAGTATGAAAAGTTAAACACTCAAATGTTGTACATTTTACAAGCTGAACACCAAATATTATAAATATTATCAATACGTAATAATAATAATAATAATAATAATAATAATAATAATAATAATGAAATAATTAATTTTTCAAAAATTTCAACCGTTCCCAACACGTCATATTATTATAATCTTTCGTTAGAATATGTAACACAGTAATAATTAGTCATAGAGCACTATAAAGGAAAAGTCATAATAATATTTACTCAAACACCGCAGTACACTGTCCATTCGAGTTACTACTAATTAGAGATAATGCATTTTTTTAACGTCAGTGAGTTTTTCATTGAATGCACGGGAACACCTATTTTGCCTATACATGACGCCGTGTTTCGAATTTAGAACGTATGCGTATAATGCGATTATTATTTATTATTATTGGGTCACACTCAAAACGTTGTCGAGTCGGACAGAGCGGTGAGTAGTGTACAAGACATTTGATAAAGGTGTGTGCTTGAGTATTTTTTTCGCCATTGATACAGAGAAAGAAAATAAATGATAAATTTCCATACCTCTTCGGCGCTTTGCATGAAGCTCGAACTCTTGACGGCATCGCAACTGTCTTCGCGGCGCAGTCCATCGTTGTCATAGCCACTGTTGGTATTGTGATTTTTGTATTTTTTCCACACCATTCTAGAAATGCCAACAAAACAGAAATTGTTCAGTTAATGGACCACCGTTTATCCAATCACGTCATGTACACACACATACAGTGTCGACGAACTTACCTCACGCCAAGAACAAGCAGAAGCCCCAAGAATAGGGGTATTACTGTGGCTACGCATGCTAAAATCAATGTTTGTATTTCGGTCAGACCTGAAAATATGAAGATTACGTAAACGAGAGATGTTGATTAATTTATTAGAAAATATCATTGAGATAAATCCTATTCCAAGGGGAATACAATCGTGACTTTACTGTCAGTATTTTTAACTTGAAATCCAAATTGAAATTAATTTCACACACACATACACACACATACGTATACTATGTATTTACCCTCGTGCATGCAATTAATATCGTTCGTCTGGAATAACCATGGAACGAATCGACAAAACAGGAATGTGCTTTTAGTGTAAATTAGTTTTTCACACTAGGACTTTTTAAATTTGCTAAAATCGACTAGTAAAGTTTTTTTTTCCAATTACTAATGTTTCACTTCGATAATAATACAATCTAAACACTACACACAAAATTTCTTTTGATGTATTTATCAAAGCTTTATATACAATATATCAATGTTTTTATAGAAATTAAAAAAAAAACTTTTCTAGCTTGCAATGACCCGTGATGTTTTAACAAGTATAAAATGGTGGGATAATGGCATTTCTATTATACTTCATCAGTCAAAATTTATAATTAATGAAGAAGTATTCCATCTAATGATTTAACTATGTCCAAAGCGACGCTTGTACCTATTTCGCCAAAGTAAGAAATTACTATACATTTATATTTTATAGCATTAAATAAAAAATGAAATAAAATGGGATGAGCAAAAAAGAACTATTAAAAAAAACCTCTTTAATATTGAAAATTATATTTTTAAAAGTCTCATAATATATATTTATATAGTATAATTAGTTGCAATATAATTAATCGTACATTTTCATTTGCAATTATGAACATCAATTAATATTTTTTAATTGCATATGCTTATAGACAATATTATATTATACTATTATATTATTATTAAACTGTGCATTAGGCACATATATGTAATAGGCCAATCGATACTTTCGTATTCCTGTGATGGGTTTACAGAAAAACAAAAAAACAGCAGTGGCTCATATTGTATGTTATTCAAAACTTGAGGAGATTATCTTATCCATGATTTATGATGAAACGTATGTGTAATAAAAGAAAAAATGGCACCATACGAAAGAATAATATCGAAACCGGGTCCGGATCTTAACTAAAAGCATTGTTTAGAGTTGGCTAAATTTTCATGAAAACTTTAGCACCGAGAGACTCACGTTTTTGCGAATTAACGTAAAGTGGCCATTCATAATGTTGAATACACGAAGATATGGAGTTTTATATGAAAAAAAGAGTGATACATAGTATATAAATGTGTAGTAAAAATGATAAGACAATTTTTTTAAACATCAATGAATCAATAATATGACGATTTGTATTCGGTGATTAGTTTGAGTGCAAAGCACATGATCAGTATTGAATACGATGATAATAAGTCAACAACTATAATTGTTCACCAAACTGTATTAGGTATAATGATTGGCAACAAATTTCGTGAATACTACAAACACCGGCGTGTAGCATGGCTCTGTTATAAATAGAAATTACATTCTTATCACTGACTTTTATAATATTTGTTGCTTTTTTCATTAAATAACTATCTAATTATAATGATCAAAAAAATATATACAACATATTTTTTGGTATTCTAGTTGAAGTAAGTAGAACGAACGATCTACCCAAATCATCGTAATAATAGGTGTCAAAGTTGAAACTTATACCGACGATGGTGATCGATATTTTCAATGGTCAATGCTCGTTATATCCTACAGTGAAGTGAAATTAAATGCGTCATACAAACTCTGTTGTTATTTTTTATTGAGCTCGTTTCTCAGCTTACATAGGCCTAAGATCTAGTTATATTATTTTTCAATGAGTAAACGATCGTTTTAATTTTTCACTAGGTAGCACGTTCTATGATATTTTAGACTGAGAGCTATCGTGTAATAGCATATTATACAACGCAGAACAGTGGATAAATGTTATAAAATTCCTTAATTACATATAAAGAAACATAATAGAAGTGCTGCGTACACGACTTAACTCTGATAAAATGACTTAAGCTTTTTATGCGACCGAGTGCAGTCGATCGTGTCTCGTTATCTTGACGCTTAATGAGGTAAAACATTTCGATTGCTTGAATTTTATAACGTTATTAAATACTATGTATTCGCGTACTTTTAAGCTTGACAAGCAAACGATATTTCATATAAGTTTTAAATTACATGCCTAATGACACTTTGTAGATAATCTAAATACAATTGCAGATGAAAATATTATTTTTGGTAGTGATCACAGGTCACATACATTGGTCACTAGTGTTTAAATAACAGTGATGATTGGTATTAATATCAGTGATAATTATAGCACTTACCTCCATATTCCTCCAAGTCTTCGGCTAGAAGTCCAGTAGCGTTGATGCTGTTCGGAATGTCCGCCAGAGCCCAGTCTGCCTCGTTGGGTATTTCGGTGTGTTCAAGCGCAGTTTGTGTGCTGTTCATTTTTATGGTCAACTGCTGCGAACCGAGATGATGGAAAACAAAACGCAACCGCTATTATGGTATAAAATAATATTGTTGTCGTAGTACGCGCGTGAATTGCACTTATTGCAGACACATATTGTTGCTGCAGTAGTACATAGCGCAAGGTACGATTACTATGCACGAGTGATAAAGCATTTTTTTTTTGTTATCAGTATTAGCATCACACTATAGAGTATAATGCAGCCTAAAGATAACTCATACCTGTAATTTTTGATCCTCTGGAACGTGCAGGTCTGTGTCGCGTAAACACCATAACAGTGATGCGGATCACACAACGCACGCGTACAATAAAATAATATAGGTAATATGATATGATCGAACGACGGGGGGGAAAAAAAAAAAAAAATGAGATAATATAATAATGTAACCGAATCGTACACTCGCACGTTATCGTGCGACAACACACCGTGTGCGTAGTAATTCGAGGGACGGTTACTGGTCGTGTGCTATTCGGACGTATCTGACGGAGGTGAAAAGTTCCGGGTATACCGCGAGAGATCGGTACAAAGTCTGTTTCATTGATTATGCCCCTCCGTCGGCGCCCTGGGTCGCTGATCGGGTGACTTCGGCTCCGGACGGAATCTCGTCAAAACCATATATATATATATATATATATATATTCGCACACGCAACCACGCACCCCTTCGCCGCCACACCACCCACACACACCCTGCACATATCCCTTTGACGCCACCGTTTTCGCAACCATCCGCTCGGTACATAACGTTTGGACACCAAACAAAAATGCCTACAGATAAAAAAAAACAATGTGATAAATAAATGAAAAAAATGTATACATTTACAATTCGCCTACACACACACACACACATATAATAGGTATATATATATTATATTAAACACGGATGGATATATTTTGTATGTAGCTTTGTTTTTTTAAAGTATATTCGATGGGGATACAACGAGAACATGTACACACAATGTGCATATACAACGTCCAAATATGTAAAAAAAAAAATTGAGGACTATACGCGTCATGTACACATTTTTTCACGTAAAAAAATACTTTTTTAAAAAAAATTTACCAGCAATCAGATCATCCAAGTAATAGAAAAAATGAATGGTTCCAAATACTTCAGTAGACGCCATATCAGAATATAAGGGGGAGATGAATCTATTATTTTTTTCATAATGAAATTGGAGTACATAGCACAATATACTATTATACGGGTATAATTAATAATAATAATAACAATATTACATTATGCACCTACATTTCTGAAAACAATTAATCATATTTAGTTGCATCTTAAATGAATCGAGTGTCTACTATAATGATACTTTATGCATTGGTAAAAAATTTTATTTTAGGAATTTTGAAGAGTTTTCTTTGTAACATTATTTTGTTCCACGAACATTTTTTTATTTATTAAAAAAGTATAATACTTGTGGTAAACTTAATAAACGAAAAATTGTTAAGGTACTTTTTATTTTCTCGGAACACCAATAATATAACTAAAGGTAGTCAACAGAATATTTCTTTATCACGTTTATACATTAGCTCTACATTTTGTAATATTGTATTAAGACTACTTGATTATAATTTAATGCACTCTTAGAATACACAAAATTAATAGCATCGAGAATTTTTAAGAAGTTTCGTATTGTTTTTAAAGTTGACGAAAAATTGACGGTATTAAATATATTTTAACAGATGTTTTAAACATCACAGAATTTGATCAGTACAAGCTTACTGCTGAAGGTATTTATTATATTATGAGCATTTATTTTAGTATAATACGTATAAATAAATATGTAACATATATATTTTATGATGAACGTACTATTAAGACAACAGTTACAAAGGCATGATAAGTTATAATATGATATGTGCAAATAAATGTTTAGGTCAATATTTATTGAGGAACAATACATGTATTTTAATTGAATATTATCTGTACATAACCGTTCCTGACATAAATTAAAATCAAATACACCCGTTAACTGTTTGCTAGGTACCAACAATTTGGAAAACCGCCAAATTAAATAGACCCTGTTATTTAAGAACCCTTGTACAAGCAATAATACTGTTTGAAACACAAAAATATTTCGATTGACTGTCGAATGGTTTTTAGATTTTGATTGAATGCTTTTGTATACGATCATTTTTTAATCATCATATGCTCGGGTAACGTCGACCTTTCAGACACTAAAAAACTATACTACTTATATATTAGGCATACGAATATAAAATGTATTATATTAAAAGCGTCGTATTGGGCATTCTTTTGCTTGGTAGATTGGTTTTATGAAACCCCCAAAAAAGTTTTAAGGTTTTATTCGAAAAGTTAACAAATAAAAAAAAAAAAATGTAAACTACACTGTTGGTGTATGGTATTATACAATCGATTGGCTTACATCAAAGTGGTGGGTCATGTGATTTATTTATTTAATTTGTTTTCATTATATTATTTTTTATTTTATATTTTACATAATATATGTACATTAATCATAAAAATGTCAATATAGTTCAGTTTAAAATCGTAATATATTCGGTCGATTTTTCAACGACATTATACGAACATTGTAATACTTATAATTTTCGTGCCGTATATAACGACATTATATTAGATATTAAATTCTATCCGACCATCTGTAAAAATATGTCTCTCTATTTTATACAATTATTTTTACCAACTAGTAATAATAATAATAATAATAATAATAGTATTTTTTTTAGGATAGTTAACGTAGGTTGCATGCGTTAGTTTAGTGAGTTTTAACTTCTGTTGAAGACTTTGCAATAGTTTCCATGATTGATTTATAAAGTATACACTATTTCCTCTTAATTTCTCTATCATGAACATACATTTCCCGAGGAAATGTGAGATAAATAGAAAAACGTATAATTTATGGATAATATTTTGTTCACGTAATCGTTAGCATATTTAATGAATTTATTTTGTATTTCAATCGGGTAGATAATTATGGTTAAGCTAGTATGAGTAGGAAGGGGTTCACATTTAATTAATTTAAAACTTGTTTTAACAGTAATGGTTATTACTTAATATATTATATTTGTGACGTATCTAAATTATATACATTTATAATTTAAAATCAGCTATTATAGTAATTGTTCTTCAACCTATACTATACTTACGTGTATTATGCAAAAGTAAATGCAATGCTTAAATAAAAAATATCTAAGGTGACCGATAAAGTAACTATTTACCGTAAAATAAATATTTATGCATAAATAAACATATATTCAAAATTATTATTTTTGAATGATTTGCCATTTCCAATATTGATTTTAAAAACCGATATAGTTTTGATATATTTATATATTTATCATACAGGTTTAATATGGCGTTAATAGGCATTTACATATTTTACCATAAATATAAAAAAAAATCCTTAATAATTTAAAATATAATATACTAGGTAATATTTTATTTTCATCAAATTACTGGAAGCTATAAAGTATGCCAAAGAAAACTAATGATACTTAAAATAGATAGTTCCGCACTCCCACTTACGACCCTGCTGATCTGTAACAAATAAGTTTGAAATGAAAATAAACCGTTGAAAATATAAGTAAAATTAATTTTCTTTAATGCCTTAGTTCAGTGCCATGCCTTACATACTTCCTAGACGTAGACACTTAAGTAAAAGCCATAGGATATTGCATCTCCTAAATATTAGTGCAGTTTAACACAAAAATATTTTAAATGATAAATAACATAACAGCACGCTAAAGGCAAAAAATATATTTTAAAACCAACATTTTTGACTCTGACAACAAATACAATTATAATATGTTCAATGTCGTACCATTGTTTGGTGCTTTTAGCTTAGATATGCTAAATTAAATAACGTAAATATGTTCATGAAAACTGTACCTATACAAAAGTATGTTAAACAAATAGTATACAATTTCTATAACATCAACAAATTATACAACAGAGATGAAATTATTAATTTTATTGTTTTTATTTGGGACCCCAAAAATACTACAATTTATTTTTCGTGATTTTATGATTACTTATTTCGCTATTGATTTATTAAATGTTTATAAAACTAAAATAATAATGGGACATTACTACCTAATAAAATATTTGTTTACATCAACTTAAAGTTCATACTACAGACAGTATACCTATTGGGTGGTATTAAATTTAGCATTTCGAGAAGAAAAGTTTGGTGTTTGCAGAATAAGTAGAATAAGCAGTTGAATCATTGAAATGTATATTATTATTATGTTTTCCTAGGGTAAATAATAAATATATTATAATACACATACACGCACAAACACTTATATATAGATATATATATAGTGTGGTCAGTAGGTATTTATCAAACGTTTTAAAATTGAAACATGTACATAATGTATAGGTACATCGTATTGCTGTTAAATAGTATTTTAGAGCATGAGCAATAATAATTAACTTCCACTCAAACACGAGTATGTCAATAGTAATTATACATTTGTATGCATATTTGAAGTAAATTCAATAGTCAGTTGCAATAACAGTTTCTTTTTTCTGAACATTTACCAAATTGCTCGTAAAATTGGATACAAATAAAATCAATATAAAAAGTATGTACTTACTATTACAAGTATCTCCATCGTTCAAATATTTAGTCACGCACATAACATCCACTCAGGTGTGTCTTTTGCCATATTTTTTGTAACAATTTAGTAATTTGAATTATTTTATGTGATTTTATAATTTTTATTTCTCTCCTCAAATTATATTATTGAATATTTTTTCTATTAGATATACATATTGTCCATTCAAGCAAGTTTTCGTTGAATATATCGCTAAAGTAAAACAAAGAAATGTATGGAAGATCAATAGAAATATTTTAGTTGTATGTAACCTAAGTATTTACTTTAGATTTTGAAGTTTTGTGTTTTGGTGTGGTAACTGTCAAACTAGTTTTAAAGTTTTGATAACATATGATCCTAGTTACGTTTATTATTTGTGACAACAATATAAATAAGAAGTTAAATACTTATTTTAATATTTGGGTGGTTTATTGATATAAAATTAAATACCATGAAAATAATAGAGAGAGAACGTCCACGGAAATAAAATTAACACAAGGCTATATTTTCAGTAAAAAGTGTTTTAAAAAAGAATAATTTATTGTTGAGTAGATATAAAAAAATATCTATATTTTTTAGTGGTATTAAATAAGAAAAAAATATCCTGTTGGGTTCTGAACTCATATCGATACAAATTGAAAACGTTAATGTCTTTTAAGTTATATAATAAAATAAGTATGTTTTGATAAATGCGTTGTCCTGTACTCCTGTAGTGCATTCAATGAAATAAACCATATATTTGTGTACTGCAAAATCGATTGAAAAAAATGTATCACTATATTCAAAAAGTGCATACTCAAATAAATATTGAAAGATTGAGGAATTAATTAATTATGTACCTAACACAAAGCTACGTAACCGTGCGGGTATTACGTGCCACTATAACTATACGAAATAGGGTTCTTGGTAAATTATTTGGTGCCGTGCG